TCTCCACTCGCGCACGCATAGTGGCGCGCCCTTAGGCCTTCATGCGCGCCTTAGACCTTCGTGCGCGCCCTCTGTCGGCGCGTCCTGCCTTGCACAGCTAGGTCCGAGTCACATGCCCAACAATAGTAAATATAATGTGAAAAATATTTTATATGGTTATAATAAAACAAAATTAGTCTAAAAATAAATTTTTAAACCTAAATATTTTGATTATTAGTATTTTTTTAGTCTTTTGCGGTAATGTATTATGAAATCCGGCCCCGGCAATAAATGCTAGCTCCGCCCCTGAATTGGTATGTTTGGAATTGAGTCATTGGTTGGTTTTGAAGCAACTAGTTAGTCTCCACCAATCATTCATATAATACTTGACACAGAAGGGATTCATTCACTAGTTAAAACTACAAAACTACTTAAAGTGAAGTCAAACATGCAAGTTTTATTTTCAAAAGGCAAGGAAATGCAAACAGGTTGTTGGGGTACCTCCTAACTAGTGCGTCTTTCAAGTCTTATCGTCAGACAATTAACTTCAAGTATTCGGTCCAACTTAGAACCTCCTTGAAGTTGAAGTTCTCGTCGGTGAGGTGGTGTCTGAAGTCTTGAGCGTTGGATGCTTCGAATGATATGGAAGACTCTTGGACTTGGTGAGAATTGTGTCTCCACCCACGAGACCTCTTCTTCTTTTCTTCATCTCTCTCATCTTCGCCCCACACCATGTTGTGCAAAATCGATTGACTTCCATCACATTCACCAAGAGGGATCACCGATGGTTTGGCTTTGGCTTGGCAAAGAGCCGCGAATGGGTCCTTTTCAAAAAGTGCATTGGGGTCGAGTGGAAAGCTTTGGGAGCCCATATAACTTGTAGAAGCTTCATCCACTTCGACCTTGTCCATTGTTCGGACTCCAATTGCGTCTTTAACTTCCTCTCTTTCTTGTGAATAATCTTCTCTGTGTTGAGTACCAAGCTCTTCCTCTTTTTCACTTTCTCCTTCCCTCTCCCTCACAACCTTATCAATGCTCCCTTCTTTAATACTCTCTTCTTGATGACTAGGAGCAATGACGACTTCACAAGCAAGTTCTTCAATAGATGGATATTTAAGGCCCTCTTGCTTTTCTAACCTTGAGACTTCTTCCTCTTCTACTACTTCCTCTTTTGCTTAATTCTTGATTTCGAAGAGGTGCTCTTGATTAAGTCTCGAGCAAAGTTTCTCAATAACTCTTTCGTTCTTCTCTATCTTGTTGAGAATCTCTTCTTGTTCCTTGAGGAAGTCTCGAGTAGAAGGGTCGGGACTTTCCTTGATGCAAGATATCTCTACGTTCCCCACCTCTTGGAGTCAAATTTTCTCTACTTTGATATCCTTAATCCAAAAACAACACGGAGGAAGGTTGGGATCGCTAGCATCTAGGCACTCCGTTGGGATGTTGTAGCGCTCAAATGCTAACTCGCGCTCAAATGCTAACTCTCCAAGGATATCTGGTGTAGGTGGGGGTGAATGATGAAGTGAACTCCCACTCCCGGCCATGAGTTTTTCTAACTCGAGATCCAAGAGGCTCTTTGGTTCCGAGGTTGGAGTTGAGTGAGTTGCCTCAAGGCCATCTAGATATAGAGTATATGCCTCAAGTCTCTCAATGGTCATCTCTAACTCGGTCTTCACCATAGGTTGTGGAGGTGGTTCTTGGTATGATGGGTGAGATGCTTGGTAATCATGGAGGTACAGTTGATAGGCATGAAGAGGTGGTTGTTCTTAAAACCGAGATCCTTGGCTAGCCTCGCTACCAGAAGCTTCGAGATACCACCAATTCAGCGGTTGGTGGTCTCCCCACTCCTCGTTCCAACCATATGGATCCATTATTCACAAACTACAAACAACAAAAACACTAAAAAGAAAATCAAACACACACAACCACTCTTCGGGGAGAAGAGTGGGTGAACAACAAAGCATGAAAATAAAAATTAAAACACAAACAAGAACGCAAAATAAAACAAAACACACAAATCAATATAAAGACTAACTAAAAACTAAATAGTTTTCTACTAATTACCAAGTTTCCCCGGCAACGACGCCAAAAAGTTTGATCACTTGAATCCGTGCATGTTATGTCAATGGTTTGCACGTATCAACAACTATCCCATCCTAAGCTAAGTTTAACCTAGGATGGCACTGTTGTATAGTGGTAATCAAGGTCGTATTCTACTCGGGTCCTGGTACCCTAGCCTACTTCCCACCTAGTTGTTAATTAGGTATTGGTTTTTGAGGTTTTGAGTGGAGGATATGAGGAAACACTTGACTAGAGGTTGATCAAAGCTAAAAGCAGGTACTTCGGGGAACTAATCCGCCCCCTAGCTTTGGGATACTATGCATGTATAGATACTTAGGGTTATCGAATGTGGTGCGTGAGCTCTCATCCGTGCGCCTTCGTCGTTATCCACACGCCTCTGAGTACGCCTCCCCTAAACCCATGTTTCAGTCACCTCAATCTAGGTTATCGTATTTGGGGCATTAAGCTTATGGCTCATTTCAATGGACACTATCCACCATCCACACTGAGGTTTCATCCCGGGGTTCATCTAGGAAGGCTACCTATGGTAGGGGTTCGGTTTCCTCAACCACTATAGGCTCCCATTCACTCATCTAACCTAAAGTCGCTAGATGGCGCATACCAACCTAACCCTAGAACTCCGTACCCAGTGCGGTAGCATAAAGCAGGCTAAGAGAGAATATTGGGGCCAGTTGCCCAAAAGTCATCATTTAGGAAAGAGTGACATTACGAATCTACTAGACAAACACATTAATTCATTCAAACCCTAAAATATCCATACATACATAATAAATCCTAAAACTAGGGTTAGTACCTTGGAGGACTACTCCATAAAGGAGAGGAGAAGATACATGGTAGAAATAGAAAAGACTTAAAGTTGGGGAAGATCCTCCTTGCTCCTAGATCCTCCTTCTTATCCTTCTCTCCTTCTACCTTCAGCTTCTCTCTCTTCTCTCTCTAGATCAAGAAGTTCACTCAAAATCTTTTATCTTAAAATGGGAAAAGGGGTCTTCTATTTATAGGCATTTTGGACTCGCGAAAGTTCGCGGCCTGAGGCTGGGAGATTACGGGCGCGATCTTCTGATGATAGGCCGCGATCTCAAGATGACGTTTTCATGGCCTTCTAAAGGGGGAAGATCGCGGGCTGACTTCGAGGTCGCGATCCTCGAGTCGTGACTATGATCTTCCTCACGGGCAAGTTGAACGTTGGCCGTGACGCGACTGGGGAAATTCTCTGCTTCTCCAAGGCTCCTTCTTCGCGAAGTTCGCGCCCTGGGCCTTCATGATCACGATCTTTGGCTTCCGGGCCGCGATCTTCATCGAGTTTTCACGACTGAAAATCTCAACCGTGATCTTTGGCTTCTAGGCCACGATCTTTTATCCTTATCCCTTTTCTACAATTGTGGCCTTGTTTTGTACCTAATTTGCACATATTGACTAATACACCCTATAATCACATCAAAATCAAATAGGAACAAAATAGGGATGTATTTGACAATGTGTAAACGCTTAAGCACATGAATTGGCACAAAACATAGCCTAAGATGGAGGGTAAATAACACTAATTTTGGTGTTATCATGAATCCGCACTTTGATATTGATCCACCCACAAATAATCCAAGCCACATGCCGACAGTGGTTAGTGATTGATGTGGGTGGGTCGTGGATTTAAAATTTCCAATCCGCACTTACCCTTGTGCGTGGTCCGTGGGTTACGGATCACCTAAATGACACACGACCAGCGGCGGATCCAGGGGAACCGCCCCCGGCCGCGACCCAGCCCTCCTCTAGATCAAAACTCGTATAACATTTGTAATTTTTTATTTATTTTTGGTGTTCGTTTAAGTATTCGTCGAGCTACGTCCCAACCCACTCTTACACAGTCCTGAATCCGCCGCTGCACACGACCCATTTTCACATGACAAGTAGTTGTTCATATTATCAAATAATCATGATATTTTCTAACTCCGCCATACATTGATCATCTAGCTACTACTATTGGTTACTATATTTTGTAATGTCCCTAAAATATTGAGATAAATTATAAATCGTTTGTTGTATCGAATTAATAAATAGTGTATTTTCTCTAAGAAGTGAAATCTACACCAATAAACAACCTTGATTTTTGGGAATATGTGGTTAGTGACTTTGTTTTATTTGTCAACGAATACTTCATTTAATGTGTCCAAATGAAAATTTGATTTGAGTAATAAATTTTTTTATATGTCACAAGTACTAGACTGATTTACAAGTGATAAAATGAACAATATTCAAATTGTTAGTATCTTTCAAATGGCGAGGTAGGGATGGGCAATGGGCGGGTTGGGTGGATTTTAGTCTAAAATTGACCCACCTGCTTATTAGCGGGTTAAAATACAGGTGACCCGCAATCCACCCACATACTTATGCGGGTTGGGTTGGGTGGGTGGCGGATTGGTGCGGTTGGGTTGCGGGTTAACCCGCAAAAGCAATTTTTCAACTAGCCATTAAGAAAATTGACTGACATTTATAATAAGTTCAAAGCAAATTAGTAAGATTGTATCAATAATTTGTGATTTTGATACAATTAATAATTTATAGTTTGTATCCCAATATTTAATGGATATTAATCATAATTTGAATACCAATATCCAATATCCAATGGATACTGCATCACAATAAACAATAATAGTAGTTAAAACTATTCTTTATTCTACACCTTTTGAAGTATATGATCAGACTGTAGTGCATTTCGAAAATATTATGAATATTCGATACTATAAGAAACAACACTTTTCCATGTAAAGATAGGACGCGGGTCATACGGGTGACCCGCAATCCACCCACCATCCACCCACATAAGTGTGGATGGGAGATTTCACAATCCGCAATCCACCCGCATCAATCACCCTCTATATGCGGGTCGGGTTATTTGCGGGTGGATCGATATCAATCCGCGGATCAACCACCCACGTGCCCACCCTATGGCGAGGAATGTAAGATAAATATAAGTCAACTTGTCAATGATAAGTGGGAGATTGTTCATTGTTGAGATTAGACATCGATAGATCTTTGATAATTTGATCCGAATCTATTATTGGGCTTTCCCAAGCCACAGAGCACTTTCTCTGGGCACTGTTGCTTATGAGCCCTGAGCTCTTCAGAGGCCCAAAGTTGATTGAAGCGGAAGAAAACAGAACGCCGAGCGCTGCGGCCGGCTATCGGCGGAGTTAAGTGAAGCTAGAGCTTGCGAAGGCAGCAGCAGCAATGGAGGTTCAACCCAAGAGTTCTCGCAAGGAGAAGAAAGCAAAACGACAAGAGGTATAACCCCCAAATCTTATGAACTAGCAGCAATTTGACGATTCCGCCTTTTCCATTCTTCATTTTCGGCAGCCGCCCTGTTATTTCTTCACATGATTCCTTCGTTTTTACTTCGTAGGTTCTGGAAAGGAAGAAGAAAATCGATAAATTGATACAAACAGCTTCTTCCGAGCACGACCATCTCTCTTCTTTCCCTCCCTTCCGCCGTTTCGACAGAAATGGTAATGGTTCTCGCCCAATTCCTCTTTGTAATCGCCGCCCAATCATTATTGAAAGACTTTTTTTATGCAGGATTGTGTGTTGCTTTGGAGTCTGGAAATGGCGATAAGCTCTCTGCTGTTCTAAAGCAATACATTCAGAATCTCCTCAAAGTAGAACTCGTTCCCATTCCTACGAATGATTGGCTTTCTGGGTTTTTCTTTCATTGTGATAAATATGATTCCTTTTCGTTTTGAATTTGGGAAGGCGAACATGGAGGGTCCATTTGGGGAAGAATGGCCAGAGGAAGAGAAAGTCAAGCGCAGAGAAATGGTGTCTCCAGAAGCACGTTATATCTTCGTTAAGGAAGAATCCCCTGAGGCTGATAATGATAAAACTGCTGCCTTTGTAGGCTTTGTTCATTTCAGGTTTACTCTGGAGGAAGAGATACCTGTTCTCTATGTTTATGAGATTCAGCTCGAGTCTCGTGTTCAAGGCAAAGGCTTGGGGAAGTTCTTGATGCAACTCGTTGAGCTTATTGCTCGTAAGGTGTTAATTGTTGCTCTCTAAGGTTTTGCTTTTCTTATGCAGTATATATGGGAACTTGATATTGAAATTATTTTCTGTCTGTTCTTCTGTAGAGCTGTATGAGTGCTGTAGTGTTAACAGTTCAGAAAGCCAATGTTGCAGCTATGAATTTCTACACGAGCAAGTTGAGGTGAAAGTTTCATTTGAAATTCCTCATCTATTGCCGAATCAGAAGTTGAGGTGAACGTTCTTGTGTTTTGTTGATCAGTTAAATGATTCCAGGTTTTTACTTGCAGATACACAATATCAAGCATTTCACCATCACGAGTTGATCCCCTGGTACGAACTTAACGATCGTTCCCTAATCTGTGACTCATAGATGCTCAAAGGTTTTATCTTCACTTGTGCATTTCTCTGCAGATGGGAGCTGAAAAGAGTTATGAGATTCTCTGCAAAGCATTTGATCGTGAAGCCAAGGTTGCACTGGAGGTAACAGCTTGTTTAATGCTTTTTTAATTTTTATCCACTTGTTTGCCCTCAAATCTCAGGTTACCCATTTGGTGGTTCTTACCTCGTTTTAGGAGACTGCCTGAGCTGGGAGGAGGATGCCTCAAGCCTTCAGGCACAAGTCAAAGGTCCCCGTTGAGAGGTTGCACTCGAACGAATTAAAACCAGACCTCGATCATCTCTTCGTTGCCATGTCAATATGTAGTCGTTGTAGAACAATGAATTGGTGGAGCCTGAATCTGGTGAGAACCCTTTACTGAGCAAGCTACATCATATATGGTTAGCATAGAAAAGAACAATTTTGAGCAGCAGCATGTACACCGTTCATTTATTCCGAAAGAGCAAAAGTGTATGCCTGCAACGAGGAAGATCGTTCATTCTTTCGCGAATGTCGTGCACTCGAGCTGGAGCAATCTTTTTACTACCTGGAAATGAGATGAACATTTCTTTTGTCAATCAATATTCAATTTCATTGTTAGGTAAGCTTCCATGTGAAGCCAGCAGCTAAGACATCGAATCAGAACTGGGATATAGGCAAGAATCCTGCTGTTACATTGTCCTACTCTCATGCTTAGTCAATTCAAATAATGCTTCAGCTTACTCAAACTCATTTCCATTATAAGGAATATCCGTCACTTTTGATTGCCAATTCATACTCACTAAAAACCTGTTTCAACAAACTTGCAAACGTCTTAAAGAGGTTAAGAGTCTACTGTGTTTGTGAAAAAACCATGATTCGGTTGATTGCCCATTTTCTGGTATGAGACGGAAGAATTCACATTAGGTGAGATGTTTGAACCAAATCATACACTTATTAGTGACAACCCACCAAATGGAATTAAATTTAGTTTGGCATATTAGTTGACTATACTTGTTCTTGTTCATACACTTTTTAGGTTATCATAGATTTCGATCTTTGATATTGAGAATAAATTTAATTGTTGATATTGACGGGTTATCAGGATTCGAAAACTCAACGATGTTTGGTTCATTAAAGACTTTGATTGTCATTATTGAGAACAAATTCGTATCAGTACTAATGCGGTAATAGCAAAATCATCTAGCTAGTTACTGGCAATCATCAGCTGGAAAACCATTTTGCTAATACTTTTGAAGCTCTACTTTATAGGCTCGTGTCGCTACAACAAGTCCATGGCTCCATCCATCCCAATCTCTAGAAATCTCCATCTTTATGCATGTGAATGAACACAAATACGTAACTACTAGTTCCTTAATGAATGTTCAAATCAAGAAGGGACGATTGACAGTTATTATGACAATCTGATAAAAATTGAGATAAGAATTGAGCAATGGTCCATCTGCTCCATTAAATACTTGATAGAAACCAGTCTCCTCTACCCAAACCCCTCACTGAAACATAGACAAATGTACGAATCCCACTTCTTTTGGATATAAATGCGAGAACCTTTTGACAATCAAACAGTCTTGCAAACCACATGTGAGAAAAAGTAGTGTCATTTTTTTCATCAGTTAGACTAATGATGATAAATACAAAAGCAACCCCCAACAAAGATGAATGGGTTCCTTTTTCAGATTATTGAAAGGCAAGCAAGCAGCAACAAAAACAGGGGAATAGATCTTTACCGTTGGCTGTACAAGGAAATTCAAAACCTTTTTCTGTAGCTGCGAGAACTGAGGGAGGTTGAAAATGGAATTCAAGGTTTCCTGAGATAGGAAGTGGAAGAAGGGTTATGTTGGTGACTGAACCACCATCGCCGTTTCAGAGATGGAACAGAGCTGCGAGGAAAAAAGAGAGCAGAGCTTTTTGCATAGGGCTGCAGAGGAACCGCGAAAAACAACGGAGAAAAGCGAAACGAAATATCAAAAAAACTTTCGGGCATTCAAATCAAAAAGCAAAACGCGATAACTATTCAACAAGTACGAGGTGGCTATATATCGCGGTATTAATTGATATCACGATATTTACCCGCTAAATTTTGTTCTTTCCCTCCCTTCGGCCATTGCGGTAGAAATGGTATTTGTTCGCTCGCGCCTAATTCACTCCTCCCGCAGGAATTTGTGTGGTTCGACTGGAAAAATGGGGATAAAATAAACTTCCCGCTTCTGTAAAGCGAGCGTCCAGACCCTCCTCAAAGTAGAACTCTTTTCACTTCATCCGAATCAGCTGAAATGATTGGCTTCAATGGACGGGTCCAGTTGGGAAACAATGGCCTTCGAGCTCATTGCTCTTAGGGTGCTTATGGCCCCCCCTGAAAGTTTCGATCTTGTTGGAATTTGCGGTTGTATTGCTTTGTTGTGCTGGATGTGTGTGAAATTTAACCTTGGAAATGGTTTTCTTTGTGTTCTTACTTGCACATGACTGTAGTGGGTAACTGTTCATAAAGCCAACGTTGCTGCTATAAGCTTCTACACAACCAAATGGAGGTAAACTTTCGATTGCGATTCCAACTTAGTTATTCTGCATCGTAGAACATGGTGTTTCTTGGTTAGTTGATGATTGGGAGGTTCTTCCTTGCAGATACACCATATCAAGCATTTCACACATCACGAGTTGATCTCTTGGTGAAACTTACCATGTTCATGAATGTTCAACGGTTTTCACCCGACTTGTGCATTGTTCTGCAGATGGGTGCCGAGAAGAGCTCCAAGATTCTTTGCAAAGCATTAACATGAAGCCAAGGCTGCCCTCGGACTTTGTAACCTGAATTCGCTAGCATAGGGATAACAGCTTGAGCCGAGAAGAGAATGGAAGAACGCTTTGGAAGGGGAAACAATCAATCATTTGTTACTCCCTGGTATGTTCTGCTGCATTTTTCCTACCTTCTGAGAATAACTCATTGTTCTGGTTTGGATTGGATGTATCGAGCTTGTGCTTTAGACAGATTGCCTACTATATTGTTCAAAACTCGCTAAGCTTCCATGTGGAACCAGCGGTTAAGCATCGAATCAAAACTGGCATACACACAACAAGAATCCTGATGTACATTGAATCAAACTCTTTCCCATTTTAAGGAATATGGTCACCTTCAGATTGCCAAATTATACCACCAGAGACTGTTTTAACCAACGTGCAACCATTTGAAAGAGGAAAAGCCTACTGTGTAGGAAAAATTATGGTTGACTGATCTCCATTTTCTATTGCTATGAGACAGAAGAATTTTCATTTGTTGGGATGATTAAATCAAGGGCTTATTAATGATAACCTACCAAATGGTATCAATTTAATTTGGCTAGTTAGTTGATTGTGCTTGTTCAAATAGGGGACCAATTAGATGGGTTTGATGCCTAACTTAAATGGCTATTAAATCATGAAGTTTGCGACAAGTCAGTCAGTTAACAAAAAATTATAACAAAATGCTAACCAAGTTGTGTGATTTCAAAATAAATAAATAATAAAAAAAAAATTAGTTACTTTGTAGCCTCAATTAATCATGCAAATTAGGTTCAACATGTTACCAAATCATTCAATTAGCACCCAGTACAGCAAGCAGACTCACCCTTTCCAGTTCAAGAACTAGTTGAATCGCGAGCTAGTGTGTTTTTCCCATTTGTTGGGGGTTTGCTTCGAGGAGTTGTGGTGTGTCTGAAAGAGTTAGGTTGAACGGGTTCATGGGATCCTGTTCGGGCGACTTTGCTAATCTTTTTCGATGTGTTAATTCAACTGAGCTAATGTTAGACTGTTTTGTAACAAATCACTTTGATTGGTTAGCCTTTTGTTACGGACCTGTTGCCTACTGACCATTTAATTCCAAGAGAGTGATTAATGATGACCAAGGAAGATACGTGCATTGTGCATACACTAACTATACTTTGCGAATCTTCTGCCACAACATTAACTTGGTCGATCATTTTCCATAACTCAGAAAAAATGAGCCAGCAGTTGATTAAGAGAAGGAAACAATTAATCTCCTTCACTGTCACGTGGAAAACCATTCTTCTTTACATTTTTAATCTCTACTTGATTGGCTGATCTTTCAGCAAGTCAAGAGCTTAAACTTATCATATAACAGAGCTAACTCTGGAGTCTGGACCACTTCCTTTCTCTCTAGAAATCTCCTGATGTGAACACAAATGTAGAACAGTTACTTCGTTGATGAATGTTCAAATCAGGAAGGGCTCAACAGTAAGAATGAAAGGACAAGGATTGAGCAATGGTCTTTCTGTTCATTAAATACTTTGATAGAAACCGGTCTGTAACATGTGGCATGAAAGAACCAGCATGTCTAGATTTCTCTTCTTCTCCCCCCAACCCCAACCACCAAACTCACACTGCAACATATGAATCCTTCATCGTTCTTTTCATTTTCACTACCTAAGACAAATGTCCCAATCCCCACTTGTCATGGATGTAAACGCAAATGGGACTTTTCCAGAAGTTGAATATTCTGGAATATCGGAAATGGGGTTTTTCCAGACTATTGAAGGGCAAGCAGAAGGATGCTTCCTTGCTTAACCTAAACACTTTTGACAAGACAAGTTTGGTGTTTGTCATTTCACTTGCAGAGCTGTTTCCATTCTTCATGTTTTTTCTGTTTCTGTTTCTGTTTCTGTTTATGTTACTTGTCTTGTATAAAAACAAATCCCACTTGCAGAGTTGGAAGTAATCAGCCACATAACAAACCAAATGGCTAAAAAGCTATCAAATTTTGAATCCTTAGTCTTTCTACCCATCAAAACCATCATCACCAATATATGCTGCTGCAGACTCAATCTCCTTAGAAAAGTAAGCCCCTTTCAGTACTCAGATTTCTCAAAACAGCCTTCCTCCTTAAGAAACCAAGATTCAGTTCTGATGTTCAACATGGAAGGAACTCTGCTAAAGTCACCTTCGATCTTCCCTTACTTCATGTTGGTAGCTTTCGAAGCTGGGAGTCCATTGAGGGCACTCATCCTTCTCCTTTTGTACCCTTTAATCTGTTCAGTAGGGGGAGAGATGGGGCTCAAAATCATGGTTTTTGTGAGCTTTGTGGGGCTTAAAGCAGGGAGCTTTAGAGTTGGAAGAAGCGTGTTGCCCAAGTTCTTCCTAGAGGATGTTGGTCTCCAAGGGTTTGAGATGGTGATGAGGCATGAGAGGAAAGTTGGGTTTACTAATTTGCCCAGAATCATGGTGGAAGGCTTCATGAAGCATTACTTGGGGATTGAAGCTGTTGTTGGAAGAGAGATGGTGGTGTTTCATGGCTACTTTTCTGGTCTGATGGAAGAAAGGAGGCCATATGAGCCGAGTTTAAACAGTGAGATCATTGGCTTTGATTGCTTCAACAATTCCCTTGGCCAAAACTTCCAATCTCCCTTCAAGGTTAGGTGATTGATTTCCCTATTCATTTCTTCTCATTCAAGTCCCTATTTATATGATAAAATTTTACCATGTTTGGATTCAAGTGTTGGGTTCGAGTCCCCGTGAACTTATTGCATGCCTTTATCCTTGCATAGAGTTGCTTTAAATACAGTTTTACTATACTTATTTTATAGTGCTTAGGTAAAATATTGATTTTGACTACTGTATTTCTGAGCATTCCCAGGGGGCTGATGATGTTTGCTTTTCTTGGATATCAGGCAGTTCACTTAATCACAGAGGCAGAGAAGAGAACTTGGCAAACACTTCCAAGATCCAAGTACCCAAAACCACTAATCTTCCATGATGGAAGATTAGCATTTAGGCCAGCTCCATTAGCATCCTTGACAATGTTCATCTGGCTTCCATTTGGCTTCCTCCTTTTCATCATCAGAACCCTAATAGGAACCTTTCTCCCTTACCAAATCTCAATCCCACTCCTCCATGTCACAGGCATGGGTGGCTTCTTCTCCAAGCCACAATCTTTCCACCCTGACAAGTCAAAAGGAACCCTTTATGTCTGCAACCACAGAACCTTATTCGACCCGTGTTACATCTCAATGTGCACAAACAAGCCCTTGACAGCAGTTACATACAGCTTGAGCAAGTTCTCTGAGTGGATCGCGCCAATTAAGACCATCCGTATCACGAGGAATAAAGACAAAGACATGAAGCTGATACAAGAACTTCTGACAAAAACTGACCTTGCAATATGTCCTGAAGGCACAACTTGCAGGGAGCCTTATCTACTGAGGTTTAGTCCTATGTTTGCTGAGGTGGCGAATGACATTGTTCCTGTGGCGATCGATATGAAGTGCACCATGTTCTATGGAACGACGGCTGGTGGGTGGAAAGGGTTGGACCCTGTGTTTCAGTTGATGAATCCCTATGTTTGGTGTGAACTTAAGATTCTTGAGAAGGTGCCTCAATGTATGGTGTGTGAAACTGGAGGCCAGTCTAGGGTTGAGGTTGCCAACTATGTGCAGTCAGAGATTGGTAAAGCTTTGAATTTTGAGTGCACTAGCATGACCAGGAAGGATAAGTACTTGTTCTTGGCAAATAATGAAGGGTTTGTGACAAGCTGAAATCTTTCTATGTTGCTTCTTGTCTTTTGTTTTGAAGCTAACTATGTAGTTTGTATGCACTATTTACTATATACATCTTGTTTATTTACCTATTCGAAAGTTCTAATGCACTGTAGTTTTTTTAGTATTAATCTCGAGTCAAGAGCGATTGATGTATTTTTACACCACATCCCTATGTTAAACTTCGCATTGTTGAGAAAATTGATCTTCTATTGGACCCGGGGTTGGTCAAGGCACTGTTGCGGGACAAGCTATAGAAGGTATCGCTATCTCAACAAAGACGGGAATCGTTAGGGGGTTTCAAACGGGATTGTTATCGTGGTAACCATTTTAATCGGTAGTATTCAGATAATTGATTGAGTTTTTAGCCTGTTTGGTTTAGATGGTTTGATCTGATTTCCATACACTCCTAATCAATCAAACCAATTCACCAAATAAGCAATTAGTCATATATATAATATATTATATAACAATACTTTGCATAACAACACAAGAGTCAACCATTCGTCCCTTCTGATGCAGTCTTACTAATTTGTGATTAATTTATTACAAATGTTAGTAAACTTGTCTCATTGCTAGTTGGAGAATTAGTTTAACTCATAATCCAACCGCACCCATCTACCACTCACCCAATCCAAAGAAGTGTGTAGATGAATTGTGAGTCATAATTGTACCAATCCAATCCAAAATCAGTCCAAGCCACCAATTCCCCACCCCTATTATTATGATTGGGTAAATGTCATATTTGGTCACTGAGATTACTATATCATGTTATGTTTAGTCACTAGAAAAAATTAATATCAAGAGTGACTAAATGTGACATGTTTCAGTAATTCGAGTGACCAAAATTTATATTAATTTTTTCTAGTGACTAAATATAACACGTTTTAGTAATTTCAGTGACCAAATGTGACAAATCAGAGGTGTGTTTAGACAAAATTATCACTAGGCCCGGATATTCTAATCTGACCCAAGCCCAGAAAAAAGCTTAAGACCAATCACAACTTGGGACCAGCCCATTAGTCAAAAACCCTTTCCAATACCATAACCCCCAGTTCTCCCGGATTCAGCCATTGCTTTTCGTTTGTTCACCGAAGGAGGAATTGCGGAAGAGAGTTCGAAAAATGGCTCTTTTGCGAGCAATATTGCAGACGAGAACTCTACAAGCGAATCCGGCACCTGGGTTCTCCCGATTCTACTCCCAGTCCTCCCCTTATCTTGGTAAAGCCAATATCTAATTGATCTTTTTGCTTCTTCCCCTCTTTCCCCGCATTCCCAATCGAATCTCCCAGCTGAATTTTCTCTTGCTTTCTGGAATGAAAGGCGTAGATTGTTTCGGGGTTTTCCTAATTGCTGGGTGATCTGTCGATCATTGGTAATTGGTATGGAAAAACTTATATGGCGGGCTTGAATTGGTTTGTGTTGATGACTTGCTTCGTGATAAAGCTGAGAACTTTGCCTACTTTCAAGTTTTAGGTTTCAAAGAGGGGAAATTGATGGTTTGTTGTTGTTAATTTATGTTGCAGTGAAAGTGGGGATTCCGGAGTTCTTGAATGCAATAGGGAAAGGCGTTGAGAACCATGCTGCCAAGCTTGAAAATGAGATTGGAGACTTTCAGAAACTTCTCGTTACTAGGACATTGAAGCTTAAGAAGCTTGGAATCCCTTGTCAACAAGTAAGCAATAGTGCACACTCACTCTGTTGAACTCTCCCACTTGTTTTTGCTAGTTCGTATCAATTTTGCTTAACGAACACGAAGTCAGATTAGAACTGTTTGAGCTATTACCTGGGCTTACGTTTTGAGGGTGTTATTATGTATGCAGTGTCGAGTGACCTTGAATTCAAGGACTTTGCCTAAGGCTTTTTGTTTGGAATTTAGGGTCCTATCTAGATTCTTAGAGTATTTGGGGGGTCTCTTTTCCCAGATGAGTTACTGATAGGTTATGGTGCTGCTTTTGCAAAGAACTATTGGAGTCCTATCTAAAGTATTTGGGCGTCTCTATTCCCAGATGATCTATTGATTAGTTACGATGTTTCTTTTGCAGAGGAAGCTGATATTGAACTACGCCCAAAAGTACAGGCTCGGTCTGTGGCGACCCAGAGCAGAACCTGTGAAAGCGAAATGAATCTTTGAAGCAACGATAGCTCGAGGACTGGCATGGCAACATTTGTTTGTTCCTTTGTTGGCGACTGAAGAGAAGTCTTAGTCTAATGATCTATGTAACCTGCGAAATTTCTCAGTTATTGTCCTACCTCATGGTTTGTATTACTTGGCAATTTAGCGAAGTGTGCATAAGCCGAGTGTGACAAAACACTGTTATTGCACATGGCAAAAATATCAATTAACAATAACATTCCGTAGTTCATATGATGGTCTTTCTTCAGGAGCTGCATTTTCCTCTGTTTTATAGCTTGTTATGTGGATGTTTCAACAATGCATGGATTAATGTATGAGTTCTTTCCTGCTCTATAGCAGGCGTTTGCCTTGTTTTGTCACAGGTCAGCCCATCAGGTATTATTCCCCGAGGCTACAGAGCTGTGCTGTCCCGAACAAGTGGAGTCTTCTAGTGCTGATTCCGTGGTAAGAGATTGATCAACTCTTAACAGATCGTCAGGCTATAAGACGAAGTGAGGGGATGACAAAGTACAGCTCTGAGTATCAATTTATTGGATGAAGTGTCAAACTGTTAAAAACATTCCCCAGTCAGCTGGTAAAATGCAATATACAAATGGAAACATTAGTTTTCTTGGAGGCACTCCCTTTCCCTCCTTAAGTTGTTTCTTGCCTTCGAGAGGGCAAAGCAGTCCAAGACTGGGCCTTTTCTACTCCGATATGCCGCAGCTGTAAACTCTGAAAGTTCACTCCATATACACTGGTGAGGCTGCTGAGGAAGATTGAGCGACATGCATCCATGCAAAATCCAGCTAAGCCAGTTTCAATAATATTTATGTGCTTGGACAGGCCTGGAAATGAGTTATCTGGAGTGTAGGCCTGCAAAAGAAACTCTTAACATCATCAGTTCGAAGCTTTGAAGCATTTGGTAATGTAATCTCAAACGATAAAGTGTATAAGCAATCAGCTATAGTTAGTTATCTCATGGAAGGAATGGCATCTCAGCAAAAGTTAACAAGAGGATCTTGTTCTTAGAGAAAAAAGATCACATGGGCAACATCGTTGCAGCAAAATCCTAATCCAAGGGCTCTGGCAAATGTATGGAAAGGCTAGTGCATGACAATCAAACTAAAAAAAGAATAGCTTCACTGATGAAATTTTAACCATGGACACAAATGAAAACAAAAAGTAGCATTCACTCTTTTACTCACTCTCCTAGCCAGCTGAGTCTGACTACCTAGCCTGAAAAAAGACAACGTCACTCATGGCCACACAGCTCCCTCAAACACCAGGTACAACTGTATAAGAGAGAAGAAGACAAGGACCTATTAGGGGATATTCAACTTAGTTTGCATCCAAATCCTAATTAAACAAGGTTTCTTGTGAATGTGCACTAGGAAACCAAGTGCATAAATCAATCACAACCTGTGAACAAAATGGAGCTTACAACTCACAAACAGAGATCTCATCACATTCTCCCTTACCTTGCAAGACAATGACGACGAAGAAGACAACGGTGACCACCATAGCAAGAATGTTAGCACCCAACGACGACGACGAAGAGGACTGAGAATTTCTGTTATCCACCCTCTTGCTCCTGAGCGACCTCATACGCTCAATCCTTGCATGTTTGACCTTTGAAAGCTCCGATATCTCCCTAATGTACTTCATATCCGCAGCATCCAGTGCTGGTCCCCTTGGTGGTCGAGGCGGTTTAGGAGGCCGCTTGGATCCCTTCCCCATTCCAAGCCTGCTCTTCTCCTTGTCATTGTTCTCATCCGCACCATCACTCCCAATCGAACTAAGCCCTAAACGGCTCGAACTTATAAGCCCTAACCGGTTCCCCAATGAACCACTCCTCAACCTATTAAGCTTCTTCTTGGCATGCCTCTTGTTGCCGCCGTAGCCCCTGAATTCATCATCGTCGGTAAAAATCCCTCCGCCACTTTCCAAATCAAGCATGCTGTTGCTCCTCAGCATGCCTACACTATCCGGATCTCCCTTGTTCATTCTACCAACCCTAGGTAGTCCCAAAACTGCTTCATTTTGGTGTATGTAACAAGATTGGGGGAAAAGATCCAACCTAACTGCTAACCAATTCCCTTTTCAAGCTACAAATTCAATAGACCCAGCGAAACCCAGTAAAGATCCGAACTTTACTCAACCCGAAATTTACCATCTAAAGAGAAACGCAGAAAATGGGAGGGGTTTCTGGATTTTCTGATTCAAATCGGCGAGCCCATTATCTCCTCTTCCTCCCTGTATGAATCCCCAACCCAAAGAGGGTAAAACAAGAACACGAAAAATTAAGAAGGCAGGAAGATAAAGCTGCATTGCAACCAACAACCGAAAAAGATTCAAGCTTCTGCATTAATGAAGAAACCCAGATCGAAAGTTTCTGCAGAAATGAAGAATCGAAGCAAGGAAGGGAGAAAACGTTACCCGTGGTTTAGGAGGAGGGGGCGGGGCGGAGAGATTGAGGTGAAACTCTTTGGATTTGAGATCGGGGAAGTAAGGTTTGTAGAGAGTCTGAGGGTGGACGACAAAATCTAGCAACGTACGACCAGAATGGAGAGCTCAAAATCGTTCGACGACATTGCCATCGTTTGTCCCCTTTCTGTCGGGAAAAAACGTACGCTAAAAACAGGAAAAATATGGTGAGAGCCTGAGAGGAAAGAAATGGTGGGGGAATGTCCAAGGTGAAAAGAGTTAATTGGGCTTCCAACATTAAACAAATCCATTGGGCCTAGCAGTAAGCACATGGGCCCTGGCACTGCTAAGCCCACGAGAAATTCGTCCCTCGGGTTTACTCACCTTAACCAGAAGCAAGTTAAGAAAAAAATGTTGCATAGCTTCTCCCTTGCATGGGATATGCAACGTACGCTTTATCTTTCTTATTTCTGATTATTATCACATCCGGGCATCCGGCTTAATATTTGGTCGCTATAGCTCAATTTCTTGAAATCGGTAATCAGTGTGAACCCCATGCATGAAGAGCCATACGAACTCAGATGAGATTTATCGTCATATTTGCGTCTTCGAGCCTAGTTGCCAATGACTTGAGGGCAGCAACCCTCGTTCTCATCCGTGCGCCTTGCATGTAGGCACACAATGTGTGTGGGTGGAGATCGTTCGACGTGGTTGTCAACTATCTCGACTGTCATTGATGAAGAACATTATTACCACGCGTCGTCAGACAGATCAGGATTGTCACGGTGTCTCCTATCGATCGGGCGACTCTCAGGGAGAGGGTGTGGGCCGGGGGTCCGATGGGCAGGAGAATGTGAGGCAGGCACATGTGGATGGGGCCGGGTTTTAAGGTTGGGTGAGGAAGGGGACAAGGGGCATATATATTATATAGGCCCAAAAAAAGCTGGGCGGGGTGTTTTTGGGCATGCATGTGCGCCTTTGTCTTGTTTTGCGTTTGCCTATCTCGGCTTGGCCTGCCGGCGGAGTAGTGGGACGGCGGCGTGGCATTTGATTCAACATTGAATGGATGTGGTGGGGAAAGGAAAGGGGGAAGTGAACGGCCACCAAAAACCATGGTAAAGGAAACCGTACCGGAAGTCATACCGGCTCCGCTAGTGGTAGGGTATTTTGTGGTACTACCGTGGTTCAACCGTTGTGTACCGGCAAAATACCGTTTTTGTAATTAAATAATATTTTTTTGTTAAAAAACCGTATCGACAGATTTGTGATACCGTTTCGGAATAATACCGGAATAAAACCGAAATATATCGGATAACAAACCTAAATAAACTAAATATGTTAATAATTATGTTAAACTAAATGTGGTACAACTCAAACCACACAGCAGGAAATTATAAACATGTTAATCAATCATTATACAAAGTGTTGTTTGTTGGTGACGTGGTTGGTCTTTCAGATCCAGCCACCTACCGACCCATTGATTTCCAGATCTCCCCTCGTCCCCAGAACAACTAGTTCCCTTCTTCCCCTCGTCGCCACCCATCCCTCTCCTTATGCTTCGTTGCTCGTCCTCCAAAACCTAGATCTAACCTTCCTCTGCCTCCCGTCCTCCAAAGATTCATCTGCCGGCTACCTCTGTTCTAGATTGACCGGATTTGTTTGATAAGGAGGAGAAGAATGAGATGGCACCACGAGAGGAGGAAACCGATTGCGGTGGAAGAAAAGGAAGATAGGGAAGAAGATAGAGGAGCAGCGGAGGCCGGAGAGGAGCAATGGAGCGCCGGAGAGGAGCGCTGGAGAGGAGCAGAGAAGCAGATCAGGTCGGCGGTCGGTGGAGCGGAGCAAAGCAGGGACCGCGGCGGGTCGCCTTGCCGCCGGTCGCTGGTCACCGGGCTTGGAGGTTCCTGGTCGCCGGTCGCCAATGGAGAAGAGGAGGAGCGCCGATTGAATTGAAGAAGAAGAGGAGAACTGCAGAACTGGGAAGAACGAAGAAGAAAGTGGCGGCTGTGTTTCGTTCGATTGATTAGGGTTTTCAAATTTTTTTTTTTTTGCTAATACGGCGACGTTTTCTTTCAATTTACCCTGCCCCCGGTTAGACAAAAACCGGCCGGTATTTCGGTTTAAACCGTTTAAACCGTTTAAACCGGCCGGCACGATATTCTGCCCCCAAACACGGTATCGTATCGTCCGTGCTCCGGTATCCGGTTTTACCGGTTCAACCGGCCGGTACGATCCGGTTTCCTTTACCATGCCAAAAACCAAACCAATCCATCTAATAACTCAGTCAGTCAGTCTCCCACATGAGGATCTTGCTAACTTCCAAAAACTTGTTCCCCGTTCTCTCTCTCTCTCTCTCCTCGCCAAAATCTTTTAGGGCCAGTAATGAATCGATCACCGAACTTTGAGGTGGTATTGGGGACATCACTCAAGTGTGAAATAACAAATAAAATCGTCATTTATCTTTTACGTCGCAGTATCGAATCAAATTTTGTTATAATTAGTGATATTATTAATTTAAGTACGTTTGAGAAGATAATTCTTATCAAATTTTGGATGAAAATGGCAGTCGGCATAGCACTTATTATTCGTTATTTCAAATTTTAGTTGAGTTAGTTATTTAAAAACGAAGTTTCAGTTACTGCTCTCATACTAAGACGATGTTTATGATGGAATTTCAACTTTACCTAACAAAGACAAAAAAAAAAAAAAAAAAAAAAACACCATTGCCTATTTTCCATAATATCAACCTAGCTATGTAATGCATTCAAATCGATCAAATACAAAATTTTGATTGATGGTGATTTTAGCAAGGCACTCATGGTCAGCCTCCTCCTTGAATGGTTGAATAATTGTCAAAGCTGAGTGGATAGGGATCTAACATTGGTTATAGCTGGTTAGAAAAAAAACAAAATTGTTGATTAAATAATCTCCAACATTATTCAAAGATTTGTTCTCTCTTTTTCTTTCGTAATTAATGAAGTCTTTTGTCTTGTTGTGCAACTGGGCCCAAACCCAGCAAACGCTTTCAAACCAATTGGGCCACCCCTAATGTAATGTTGGGCCCTCCCTCCTCATATGCCATTTCCTTGTTTGCCAACTCAAAAGCGTTTTCTCCAGACTCCATGTGTGTGTGTGTGGTGTATATTTCATTCTCTTCTTTTCTTTCTGGCTCTTTTTGGTCCTTTGTTCAGTGCAGTCCCTCCCACCAAAAACAAAGACTCTTTCTTCACCAAAAATTTTGTTTGTCAAAGGCATTCAAATAACCATAAGTTGGTTTTATCAACACGGTGGACAGGTTACATCCGTACACTACACACACACTTATGCATTACCTCTCATGCCCCATTGTATGTTTGGAGGCCATGTGGATGGATGATTGTACGTGTCTTTGTCATACTAATTAACATGGACCGGAGGAACATCAATGCCCAAATTAGTTTAGCTAAAATCAACAGGAAATATGCCATCGTTGCACATTTATATCTTCAATTCGTTGAGTGTCATCGTAGCATGTTCAATTTTGTATGATTTGCAAGGACAAAATCTCAATATTATTACATTTGAATACTGTACCGATCGAATTTATCACCATCTGGTTCATCCAATCCCTCTTCCCGGTTCTTCAACGCCATCGATCGTGCAGAGCAGTCACAAGTCGCAGTCCACGACGACCACGGCCGACTTGTTTAATTAGTTATTTTCCAGCTCCATCCGACCCCGACACTTCACCTTGCGCTTCGCCGCCGTCGTGGATTGTTGGTGCATCAGCCGCAAGCCCACACGCTTTTCTCAATGAACCCCGAAACTGCTTGTAACGAGTAAGTGACACATTTGTTATGAATGGTTATTAGCTGACTATCGCGGCGAATGGTAATGGATGGATTTATTCTTTCCTGCCCGTCCAGTGTAGAAATGAAGAATTTGTCGCTGTGATTAGGGCTGCAAATGAGCCGAGCTGCTCCCGAGCGGCTCCGCGTTCGACTCGAGAAAAGCTCGTTCGAAACTCGGCTCGTTAATAAACGAGCTGAACACGAGCTCACCTTTGTTCGGCTCGTGAAGCTCGCAAGCTAGCTCGACTCGGTGGCTTGTTGAGCTAAACTCGTGAGCTGGCTCGTTTAGAGCTCATGATATGTCTTAACATGTGGCTAGAGAGCCAACTCGATTACCAACTTATGGATGAATCAATCTATATCTTATAATTTAATTCATATGGTTGTTAATTTATATATCTCACCATATATAAAGTTTTGCACGTTGAGTATGTGAGCAAATATATCTTATTTTCTACATTAAAAAGAATTTATGCATCATAGATTGCTTCGATACAATGAAATAACATGATTTGGAGTAGTTAAAATTTATTAACTAAACGATATATGATACCAACAAAGTATAAAGTATAAGATGAGATTAACTAACAAAATAAATCATATGTATCATGATATACAAAATGAAGTACCAAATAAAAGTTAAGATTTTAATAAATAAGCTAGATCGAACTCGACTCGGCTCATTAGCTGTGAATTGTGATCGTTGAATAGCTTATTTCTTTTAAATCTTTCCTTGGTGGAACAACTTTG